AAGCTTGTCTACCCAACTACTCGTCATATGTATATCAATTCACTATATCACATGTTTATTTGAAGAAATCAAAACATACATTGAGGAAAAAAAAAAAAAAAAGCTATCATGTCATTTTCTTGTAATGAAGTTAATCCACTTGTGCCCCTTTCATATCTCAAATGAGCTCATTTTCATAAGAAACTCTTCATGATATCAAGTGGTTCAATCCGTTTTTCGTCATTGGGCAGAGACTTGTGTGCTAGTGACTCAAACCTAATAAGCAACGACCCTTCCAAAATCCAGAAAAATATAGTTGGAAAGATTGAGACTCTACATCAAGTGTTGAATAACTGTAAAGCAATTAAGCATAATTCAATATGAAAATGGCCCACCATATATCAATGTCTAGTGGTTATATACCAGTGCATGCATGCATAACGACAAGGTTAGGAGATGCGTATAGACTTTTCGGAATTTTTAAGAATTCTAAAGCTAGTGAAGATAAGAAGAATATATAAATTATATAACACACATATAAGCACTCCAATTCTCCATCTTAAACTTCACTTGAACTGTTTAAAAAATAACATTAATAATAATAAAATTACACCTGAAAGTGAAGCATAACTATTACTTCGATAAAAGAAAATTTTACAATTAATGACACGCAATTGTTAAATGTCTCACACAACATGTGATTCACCACGATGATTTTGATGTGAGTTCATGACTTTGTGAGACACTCGAAAGTCGGTAATTCTAATTGTACTCCTTCGATAAATTATGAATTATATGTGAGTTTGTTTTTAAATGATAATATGTCATCTATTAATTTAATCATTTAAATATTTCATTCATCGCCGGAAGATATATTTCAAGCTCGTATCTTCAAACCAAAAAAAAAATGAAGTTAATCGAGCTGGAATGGATATATATATATATATATATAATTATTTTAGGACTTCCCACCTCTTCTTTGATAAGAGACATTTGATTAGAAGTTAATGTATGCGTGTATGGTATAGTACACTTATATTAAAAAAGAAGCACTGTTAGAATTGTTGTCATAGCTTGCAGACAAAAAAAATTAAAAATGTGAGGTGACTGGCATAATATCATCCAAATAGAAAGGGAACTAATCAAGATTAAAAGAATAAAAGAACAGCAAAAGAGGAAAAGGTAGGGAAAGGTGAATTAAAAGCACCGGGCATATCTGTCCCATATCTGTGCAAGCATCTTCTTCAGATTACTACATTACGTTTCTGAGGGGTCAGTGCTTCATTATTAAATAATAATAATTAAAAAAAAAAAGATCACTTCTTCAGATTGACATTTTGCAACGTGTATAGAGCTCAGTCTTTGATTTGAATGCAAATTAATGGTGCCTTCCAAATCATGATATCTTAATTTGCGTTCAAATCAAAGACTGAGCTCTATACACGTTGCAAAATGTCAATCTGAAGAAGTGATTTATTATTATTATTATTATTTAATAATGAAGTACTGATCCCTCGGAAACGTAATGTAGTAATCTGAAGAAGATGCTTGCACAGATATTATATATATATATATATATATATCAGAAATTCAAACAAGTGTTTGTAAATGATAAAAAATAAAAATAAAAAATAGACTTAGGTAATATAACCATGTTCAACTTAGAAAGATGATCATATCGTGTGATACATGATATCTTATGTATATATATATATATTAAGGGTAAAAATAATTTCATGTGAATTGTGATTTCACAAATAGTGTGAATTTTAATTTATATAGAATGATCTCAACCATTTTCTTATGCACAAGACGTCCTGTGGCATAGCAGGGGATCCAAGCCACCTATTAAAAAGAAAAAAATTTGTTTGTTTGGAAGGTAAGCGACAACGGGCGAACACAAGCTTACTTGGGATGAAGGAACTAAAAATAATGTAAAAAACTTAAATTTAAAAAAAGAGATGGTCTATAATATAAAAAAATTGAAAAAAAAGAAAATTATGTAGCTACATATAAAGGCAAGGATGCGATGATTTAACTAAACCACGTATAAATTCAATTACCTACAGGGTACGGTGAGAATTAATTGGATTTAGCAAGGCTTGATATGTGCTAATTACAGTGGCGGAGCCCAAGGGGCCACAGGTTAAAAAACATAAATACACACCCAAAAAGAAGAATTTGAAGAAGAAAAAAGACAGAAAATAGAGATAAATTTGAAAGGATAAAAAAATTAAAGTATGACTCAAAAAGGAAAATTTGACTTTTTTTTAAAAGAAATTAAAAAAGAAATAAAAAGTTAAGATTATTTTAAAAATTAAAAATTTAGGAGGCACGATATATAATTTTAAAATTTTAAAAATTAAGCGTAAGGAATTTAAATAATAAAAGAAATAAAAAGTAGGAGGCACGATATATAATTTTTCGTACATACTTAAAAAAAAATACAAATTAATTATAAATATTTTATTGAGCGAGCCAGGCCAGGGGCACGTGCCCCCTAGGTCTTAATTGGCTCTGCCCCGGCTAAATAAGCACCTGATATTTAGACATATCCCATATAATTAAATAACTAGAGGTACCAAAAAAGTGGATATTAATACATACACACTTGTACAATATTAGGGTGTGTTAAATCTGATGTGTCATAATAGATTTATATAAAAAAATTTAGATTATTTATTTTTTGCTCCAGCAGTTATTTTATACCTTTTGTGTAAAAATATATCTCCTATAACAATCATCCAGTGTTATGTCTCGACCCCACATAATTTTTACAAACCTACTTAATATAGGGTTGATTCGTTAATGGAATGAAAAAGAAGGGGGAGAAAGGAAATATGCTGATGTGGCTGTGTAAAAAAGTTACGTAAAATATATAATAATTTCATACATTTGTGTATCTTAACAGACTGCTGGAGAGATTATACGTGGCAGTGTATATATTTTATATACACAAAAGAGTGTTTTAACATATTGCCGGAGATGCTCTTCATTCACTTTTTTAAAATAAAAAATATTTTCAAAAAATTATAAATAAATAAAAAAAACAATTCTTTTTAAATAAGTGTTTTTGAAAAAAAAAAAAAAAAAAATTCAGAAACTTGACAACAAGTTTCTATATATTTTTTGAAAACAGAAACTGATCGATCTAAAAAAAATTGAACAAAACGTGCCCTTATTATTTCATTTTTCTTTAGTTGGGCTTCAACAACCCGCAACAAGGCTCTGTTTCTTCTTTATAGGACCCAACACAAATATTTGTTCTTTGTGAAAGTTTTGTGATAAAGGGTAGACGATGTATATATATATATATATATATATATATATATATATATATTCTTTTGGGAAGGTGGGAAGAAGATTTTTTCCTTCACACACACATACACATATAAGAAATGAGTACAGGCAAAAGAAAGAATAACAAAAAGACTCTTCATCATTTTCTTGTAATGAAGCCAAACCACTTGATGTTGCATGCTTTAAATTCCCACTTGGAGTGAGCTCATTTGAAAGATCCTCTTCAGGATCAAGTGTTTATGTTCATTTTTGGTTCTTGGAGCAAAGCCTTGTATGCCACTGATGGAGCAAGCAAAACAAGCAATATTGGCCATTCCAAATTCCAAATAATAGAAAGATTTAGATTCCCTATGAAGTGTTGAATGAACTGTAAAGAATGCATCACTCAACGTGAACATGCCCCACCATATATATATCAATGTGATCTAGTGTTTCTATATATGCAATGGGGGATATATAAATCTTTAGGGTTAGTATATCTCTACCTAAAAAATATATCCAAATTACTCTATTCTTAAAATTTGTTCAAATCGGAAATTTTGAAACCCTAATTGCATAGGTTTCGATTGAATTGAACAACTTTAATTCTTGCACCGCAAACTAAATCTTACTCCCCTAACCTTAAATTCTAAAGAGAAAGATTGAACCAAAAAAAAAAAAAAAAAGTGGCTAAGGTTCTGTTTTTTCTTTTCCCTTGCTGATACGATTCCATTTTCTTCCCCTATTTTATTCCTTTTTTATTTTTATTTTAAACAAAATTAGCAAATATATCTGCATAGTTTTCCTGGGTTATTATTTTTTATTTTTAGAATTTTCATTCTTTCTTTCTTTTGAGGATGTTAAAATTTCAAGGACCCATGAAGTGAAAGTCGGTTAGATTTATTGTATACGAAAATTGTATGCACGATATATTATAGAGTTGCATATTCATTACATATCTTACTCTTTTACTTACCAAAAAAAATTAATCTGAATTCTAAGTTATTAATATATAATTTTAATAAAGTACGCATAGCTACAAAATTGAATCAATTCATCAAAGTTTTTAACAAAATAACTAAATAAATGATACTAGTTACAACTCAAAAAGATATATAAAAAAAAATAATAAAAAATTCAAATTTTCTAGTGACGGAAAAAAATGAAAAACTTAGCATCTCCAACCGTTGGTAAAATATTCTTTTATGTAAAATATGCACAGTCACGTATGATATGTAAATTATTTATTATTATTATTATTTTTATGTCCAGCAACCCACGTCACCACTGTGTAAAACTTAGCATCTCAAGCCGTCTGTTAAAATATTCTTTTGTGTAAAATATACACTGCCATGTATGATGTGTAATTTTTTTTATTTTTTATATATATATATTTTTTTATGTCTAGCAGCCCATGTCACCACTGTATAAAATTATTGTGTATTTTACACAACCCATCAGTATATATCATTTTTCTTCCCTCTTTCTTATTTCATTAATTAATCAACCCTATATTAATTTGGTTTATAAAAATTATGTAGATCCAAACATGAAATTAATTAATTGTTATTGAGAGATATATTTTTACATAAAAAATATAAAACAATAGCTTGAGCTAAAAATAAATAATTTAATTTTTTTTGTATAAATCTATTATGACACATCAAATTTATACAAATATATATATATATATATATATTCACAACGGTTGGAGATGCTCTTAGGTTTAATTAACACGCATGTTTGTAGTATTGAAAAAGTGTCTGAATTGCTTTTAGGAAAAAAAGAAAGAAGAAAGGAATTTAATAATTGAATAAAGTGTGTTTTATGAACACTTCTTTGAAGTAATATGTTGTATTTGCCACTTTTACATTCTCAATTTACATCTTCTCCAACTTTGGAGCCTTTGAGCTTTCTCCACATCTCTGCACATTTTCCTAAATTGGCAGCTTCTTTACCAGTGTGGTTGGATCAACACTGCTCCACACGGTCACCTTCTTTTGTTCTACATCTGTACACCAAAAGAATCTTACCGATCAAACTTATACTGTAGTTCTTATGCAATCATTTATAACTAAGAACTTATTAATCCCTTATGTGTAGATTCTTATTCGGAACTTCCAAACACGACATAAGTGTTAATTGCTGTGGGATTCACAAAATACATACAGATGGTATATGGTTGCATTTGTCGAGTAGCACACAATAGTTCATTCAAAGCAAAAATGGCCACTTCTTAGTTGTGGCCTGCGGGAAGTGAAGCCGAAGAAAATCGCAGGTCATTCTCAGTGACAACTTCAGCAGGACCAGGCTGCCCAGATACAGTATGAGCAGCCAAAGCAACCAACACCCTGTCACGTAGACAATCCTTTGTTAGGCTAATTAGAGATCTTAAAAAGTGAGCCAATACACCAAATGCACATAAAAGGGTTGCCTTGTCGCAAACTATGAATTTAGTATACCTGACAAAAGCCGAATTCGAAACATATTTTTTCATGAAACTTAATCTTTCAACAAAGAGCTGCAAATTGATGACCAGAAGCTCAGTTTCAGTTCTCTTTGCTATATATATGCAGATTGATAATAAGCCAAAACTGTAGTAATTCCTAATAGATTCCGACATTCAAGATTATATGGATCTACCTCGAGGCCAATATTAACTAATAAGAAAACAATTCCGAATTCAGCAACAGACGACGAAGCATAGAGAGACCACAGAGTCCAATCACGTTCCCAGCAACCAAATGCCCATTAAAAACTCTCCCTAAAACATAGCAGTAGATAGAAGACTGCAATGGTGGAAATGGTAAGTGCTGATTGTGGTAACAGTTAGATCAGATTAGAAGTGGAATTTCAAGTTTGTAATAATACTTACATGTGAAGAGGCTTAACACCTTAATCATGCAGATTGCTGAAGAAATCAGCTGCCACTTATAAACATCAATGGAATCTGTTGGTGCTGCAGAACTGTTGAACTAGTTAGATTTGCTCATGAGCTTCTGATGACTTGAGAAGTGAAATTCAACACATCCAACTGTCCAATGACTGAACAACATAAATTAATCAAACATGGGATCATCATCACCTAATCTGAAAAAAAAAAAAATCTGTATCACAGAATATGTAATCTTTCATATACAAAATAAATAAATAAAAATAAAATAAAATAAAATTTAGGCGTTAAGAGAAAATAGGCATAAGTTCTGTTGAATCCAAAAACCACCCCACTTAACCAACCATGGAGGAGGTTTTTACTCAAGAAGATAATTTTTCATGAATTATCTTCGTCAAAACAAATGGACCTTTACTATGAGAATAGGCACAAGTGTTTGTATAGGATAATTGCTTTTTTTTCAAGACACGCCTGCAATATTTGAGATGGGCTTTTTTCTAGGGTTTATCCGCTTTTTCCATGAATCAGAGAACAGTGTCCGAATAAAAAGGAATGATAAAATGGTCAGATGATGCATTCCAATGGCATATGAAAGATTTTACTCTTTCTAGAATTTACCTAAATTCCCTATGAAACAAGAAATTGAAGTATATTTGGATCCTCAAATATGCTAAATTAGGTTTCTTGCCTCAAACTATCTTTGATTATATTACAGAAGGGACTTGAATCTTCAAGAAGTTTTTCTTACTCAATCTGGAAATTTGATGTGGAAAGGTTGAATAGAAGATGAAGTTTTGTATCCTTCTGGTGAGCTTCTCCAACCAGAAGGAATTGAGACAAAATTATTGGGCTTGAGCCTCTTATAGCAGAGAATAAGAGATCACAAGTGTTCTTTATGTATGGGATTACTTTAGTCAATTTGGCTTGTCTGTTTTGAAATGGAGACATATTTAAGCTCATTCAACTAAATCTTGGGTTAAAAAAAATTGAAAATATAATTTTCACTAAGGCTACTTTTGTTTGGATGTAAAATATATTTTTTAAAATATATGCATTTTTTATTTTTCAGTGTTTAGTTGTCATAAAATATTTATTTTTACAAAGGAAATAAAATATAAAACCTAACAAAAATAACTTATCCATCAATTTTTGACAAGTTAATTTAAACGCAGCACGGAAGGACTCTTACCTCAATCCCGACCTAAACCTTTGTCAAACACTGAAAAATAAAATCAGTGGTCTAATTTCAGCCATCTTTGCCAAATTATCAAGATGCCAGCAGCCAAATATCCAAGAGCTGGAGTGCACAAACATGTTCATGTGTGACCAACGGTTTTATCCAAAACAGTCAACTGTGCAAAGGGAGAACAACTAAAGTAATCAGAAAGAGAACCACTCACCTAAGCCATTGAAGCAAAACTAAAAGGAATAGCAGAAAAAAAAAAAAAAAAAAAAAGGTTGTTGCAAATGCAATTAATATCAAAGCACAAGAAGTTTGGCTCCTAATGTTCACCTGTAGGACCACAGCAGTGGAAGATACTCCCAGGCCATTTCCAGTGACAAGTTCAGCTTGGCCTGTATTTATTAGGCATATTCAGAGAACTCAAATACAGAGAAAGAAGAATAATAATTACAGGAAAGTTCAATTTTCCAAGCAACTGAGAACAGCCCAATCCGAAAACATATTTCTTCATGGAACTTGTTGGTCTTTTGAGAGAGGGCTCCAAGTTGATGACCAGAAGCTCAGTTTCAATTCTATTTGTTATATGCATTCATTAGAACTGTACCAGACAGACATGAAACTTGGGACATTTCAAAGGTTAAACATAGTCTAATAGGTGCTGGCAATACAAAATGATCATCAACTATCAATAGTCAGTCACCAAGATGTAAGCAAGAAAGAAATGATAACTAGATTGGTACCTCTAGTAGCAAGACTAAAAACACGCTTGATCTGAGCTCCAACGGGGGCTTTTCATATGCTATTAATGTGTTGAAGTCTCTCTGTCATTTGAGAATTTGACTGGAGGGGCAGGGGATTTTGCATGTGACTCGCTTACAGGTGTGGCCTTTTGATTTGCTGCTGCTGCCCTAGAAGGCCCTGCCAAAACAGTAACTCTTAACATATACTTCATTATCATGGATTACCTCAAGGCCGATATTAATTAATAAGAAAAACAACTACCTTTTCAGCCATAGTTGGCAAACTATAGAAGACCAGAGGGTCCAGTCAAGATGCTAGCAGTCAGATACCCAAGAACATGACTTCCTACACACATTAGAAGATAGAAGACAAACAGTCATATAAAAAGAAATGCTAATTGTGATAATAGTCACAAAGGATTTGAAGTAGTAATGAAAGTTGGAATGCAAATTAATACAAGTGAACTGCCACATATAACCTATCAATAAGCTCAGTTCATGTATCTGGAATTTATACAGGCTTCCATCTTATTTAGGTTGGGGACACAGAACTGCATTATTGATTGAACTGGCTCATGGGTATCAGGAGTATCTAGTTAATTCAGATATACACAAACACACCTATAGCATTTTAAAGCAACAAAGGATAATGGACACACTGTCCAGAACAAAGGATGCCTAAAACTAAGCATAAGAGTCTCCATGGAGCATATTTATGAACAATTCAGTCGTAATTTTCACAAAACTAACGGATATGAAACTTTCCATTTCACAATATGTTGGGGAAAATAAAAAGATCATACACATACTAAACACATACAGTGAATTAATAGAAGAACCATATTGTAGCATTAGCAAAATAGAACATAGAGAATGAATAGAAGAGCACATATATGATAGTTTAGAGCTACTAAGCATAACAGACAGCGTGCCCAACGACCTCTTAGCTAAGCATAACAGTCTCTATGGAGCATTTTTTACAACCCAATTAAAATAATGCACAAAATTTTTTTCCTGAAATTCATGTCTTGAGATATTATTTTCCACAAACTTGCAGTTATTCACTGATTTACAGAGTTTCAATGAATTGATTAGCAAGAGATGCATCAAATAAAAAAGGATTGTTTTTTCTTTTTTTGATGTGAGTGCAGTGAATGGGGCTCACCTGATAGAAAGCTAGCAATGGCCATTGAATCAAGGGATTAGTCTCAACTCTTCTTCATAAATGTAACGGCGATCTATCTCGACGCAAGGGATGTCGGCAATCATTGGCCAGTAATCTCCTCTGTTCTTCACACACCTTTCTTTTAGAATTGGACAGTTACTTATTTGCAGCGATTGAAGTGTGGAAGGCAGCCCCTCCTTAGGGAATGACCGAAGCTTAGGGCATTTGTAGATGCTTAGAAATTGAAGAGAGGTGAGGTTCTGGAGCCCCTTGGATGATATGCATTTCACATTCTGGAGATTCCAGATTCGTAAGAGGGTTAGACTTGCAGGAAACACACAAAGCTCTTCTTCATTGTTATCAGGAAAGCAAAACATCTCCGAAAATCCACCGCTGATGTGGAACTTTTCAAGCGAGGTGAGTCTGTGCAGGCCCCAGCTCGACAGGGGAATCCCGTAATCAGCATCAACTGAAATTTCAACAAGTTTCGGAGGCAAATTCCCATTGTCATTGCCAAACAACACAAGATTTGGACAACGAAGTAGTTCAAGCTTTGCAAGGCTTTGAATCTGATTGAATGGTGGCAAGAACCTCAAATTCATGCATTTCCTGATGATAAGACATCTTAGATTGGGAGTGGATAAACCTCTTTCAGGGAAATTCTCCAAACTATCACACTCGTATATCCACAGTCCAAGGAGATTTGCAAAATGGTTCACGCACCCAATTAACCTTCCAATATTTGGCCAATTACTGATGCTAAGGCCTTCAAGTGATGACATACTCCTATTATTCTCATGTACCATTGTCTCTGAAACCCACTCCAACTGCCGGCAATTAGAAATTCTAATTCGCTTGAGTGTGGTGGGAAACATGTTTGTTGGCCATGACCTCATAGATGAACAATTATCGACCCTCAAATCTTCAAGATGAGAGAAGCCATCAGGGAGAGACTCCAAGCCCTCGCACCCTTCTATCTGAAGATATGAAAGCATGGGTGGGACACCCCTTTCTGGGACGTGCACAAGTTTTGGACAGCCAGTGATAGACAAGCACTTCAGAGACGTTAGGTTGTTCAACCCATTTGGTAGCTTCTCTAGATTGGCACAGTGACGTAATTCCAAGCGTTCAAGTTTACAAGGTAGCAGCAATAAACCATTCTGCCACAAAGTAACCAGCTGGTCACATTCATCAAATTCAAGATATTCAAGTGCCACTAAAAATTGCATGAGTTCTTCTGGGAGTTTAGATAGCCCTGTAACACTCTGAACTTTCAAGGTGGTCAGTGAGCTCAAATCAGTAACTCTTTTTAACACTACCTCATCACATTCTTCGAGGTATAATTCACAAAGAGAGGAAAGCCTTAAAATTGAAACCCTACTCAACTTGGGACATTTACGTATGGTAAGCACTCGGAGGCAAGGAAATTGCCGTGCAGCTATTTCAACGCCATCCAAGAAAGACCATTCCTCCCATTCTGGCATATCCTCAAATGTTAGAGTCTCCAGAGATGGAAAAGGAAATTCCAGTGAACAACCATCTGCATAGAACTTGGCCCCCACACTCTTAACATTGGGCATGCCTTGGATGTATAGGTACTTGAGCATGGCCAATTGCCCAAGTGGTGGTAAACATTTGCATTCTGTACAACCAATGAGACTTACAGTCACCATTTTAGAGAATGACGGATCTCCTACCCAACTTGGAAAAATCATGCCCCCAAAGAACTCAACTTTGAGCGATTTTAGGTTTATGTGCGGTTTTAGCATGTCGAGCACATCCATCTCAAGTTTTTTGTCTCGAGAATCATCAAATTCTTTGCACCATGCCAACTCTAACTCATCAAGGTCCGGCTTATCCATTAAATTGGCCACCTTTGCTTCCTGAACATCCATAATATTTTGCAACTTTACAATAGAAAGCATCCCACGTAGATGCAACAGGTTCTTCAACTCTGATATACGTGACCCCTTGATTTTTCCCACGATTATCTTTGACAATGTCTGCAAATTTGTCAATCTACCAATCCCCAAAGGCATCTCTTGTAATAGCTTGGTGTCAGCATTATCAAGATGACGCATGTTAATTAAATTAACAATACTTGAGGGCAACATACAGAGATGGTCACAACTGCGTAACAATAGTGTTTCCAAATTGTAGAGAGTACCCAATGATTGTGGTAACCATTTGATTGAAGTGTAAGACAAATTAAGGTACCGTAGATGCTTTAAATTGTCGATTGAATCCGGTAGCTTGTTTATGTGATAACCAGACAAAGATAGCACCCTTAAGCAACGCAATTTAGGCAATAGATCGAATAAAACTCTGTTAGTTAAGTAAGAAGTAGGCCATCTATATGAACCATGAACATGAAATGGTAAGAAAGTTCGCAGATGTTTAACTTCACAAAGAGCCTTAAACTTTTGGAAGGCTTCATAACTTTGACGAGTGTATGACAAGTGGCGAGCACATTTAGGAATTGTATATTGCTCATTATTCTCAAACTTGTCCAACAGCCTAAAACATATTTCTCCGGCAACAAATTGAGCTAAATCATTTACAAGGTCATGCATCACAAATTTGGTCTTATTGCCACTTGATTGTTGGAAAAATGACATTGATAATAGAATATTAAAACAATCTCTGCCAAAATCCTCCATCCGTTTTTTACCTTTGCATAGTTGTAAAAGACCTTCTGCCATCCATAACAAAATTACTTCCTTCTTGTCAAATTCATAGCCCTTTGGAAATATCGAACAGTAAGCAAAGCATTGCTTCAAATGGGAAGAAAGATGATGATAGCTCAATCTAAGAGCCGGAAGAATACCACTTCTTCCTGGTGATAGCTCCCAGATCTTGCTGTTTAGTATATTTTCCCATTCATATTGGCACAACTCTTTTCGTAGGAGGCCTCCAAGCGTCTTCGCTGCCAAAGGCAAGCCATCACATTTTTTCACTATTTTCTCACCAACTTCTTTCAAATCCGGATGGGCATCAAAATTTCTTCTTTGGAGTGCATTTTGAGCAAACAAAGATAGGCAATCATCATCATTCAACTTCTTCAAAAAGAGAGCTGGAACAGTTCGCATGATTGATGCAACATTAGCATTGCGAGTTGTGATAATGATTTTGCTTCCGGGTGCCCCAACAGAAAAAGGACTAAGTAGGTTGTCACACTGTATAGGGTTCTCAATCCAAATATCATCCAAAACAAGAAGAAACATTTTTCCTGACAAGCTCTCTTTTAGTTCATTCATAAGCATATTTTGATCCTCGAAGTTCCAAGCAACTAAGGTGACTGATTCAAGAACTGTCTTTGTCACTTTAAAAGCATCAAAATCATGAGAAACATAAGCCCACGCCTTCAAATCAAAATGACCCTCCAAACTGTCATCGTCGTACACCAGCTGAGCGAGAGTTGTTTTACCAACACCTGCCATACCCACAATTGGAATGACACAGAGTCCATCATCACTGGCATCGCCCCTTAACAACAATTCAAGTAATGTTTCTTTATCTTTTTCTCTGCCATAAACATCTGATTTGTTTGCCCAAGCAGGCTGGGGCAATCTCTCTCTCTCCGCCCTAGCATTTTTTTCCAAACCAAGGTCATTTTTCTGTGCAGCAATATCTTGTAATCTAGCATTGATCTGCTCTATTTTGGACCTCATATGGCAATCAAACATTAAAGCACTTGGAGTGAAGCTAGTACAACAAGTAGGGATAAGTTTTCGTACCTTGCTGGTGCTAGCATGAGATTCCTGATCCATCAACTTGCGTCGCAAATCTTCGGTGGCAAACTGGTCCAGCAAATCATCCAAATCATAAGCCAGGTCATTGAGATCCTCCAGCCACAGCTTCACAGCTCTGTCTGTTATCTGCTTCTCCTCTGCGTCGCCAATCACAGCTTGAATTACCAACAGCGTCTTGCTCAATTTCTTCAACTGAGTATCAAGTCCCTCTTGTTGTGCAAACTTGGCCAATACACCAGAGGCCAACTTCTCATACAGCACCTCAAGGAACGTCGAGAGAATGATCTCTCCAATAACCATCTTTAAACAAAGGAATCAAATATCAGAAATACTATGAAGAGAGAAAACAATAGCAAGAAAAGCAAAGCAAAGCAGGAGAGAAAGTTTGTTGTGTCGAAACTTGACGATGAGTAAGGTTGACTTGGGAAGTCAATTAAGGACTAAGAGGACATCAGTAGCTGCAGGTAAGTTTCCTAAAGCACATATATGGTCCCATCAAAAAGTAGGATCATTATACATATTACAGGCTCGTTGACTGACTGTTAAAGAGCTTTATTGATCTGAAAGATCATAACCATATGATTCTTAACACAATGATCAAAAGATGGCCCTTTTTGCAATGGCCAACTCAGCTTTCGCTTTCATTGAGAAGAATAAGAACTGAAGTAATTAACCCAGTTTCAGTAAGGCTCAAATTTACTCTTTGTATCAACTCTTTTATGATTATTAATCATGCTTAATTTCAATTCTCGCTCTTTTATTTGAAATTTTCTCAAACAATGTCATAAAATTGGCAGGCTGGAACTGTGAAATCCTCTATATATGCGCGCGTAAATGCGTAATGGTAAAAAATGGCAGTTGATGTTGGATGATTGAAGAAGCTTTACATATCTTCAATTGGGTTGTGGAAACCCAAATCCTCCTTATTTAACAGCAATGTCTAATAGAGTTCACTGAAATTGGTACTTCAAACGAATAGCGATGTCCAATTTTTGTTCTATTTCGCTTGTTTTAACTCTAATCTTTGCCAAATCTATACTTTCAATTTGCATCATCTAGAATTGGTAATTGGGACGGTTTGATGCTTTTTGAGCTCTCATAATTCCGCATCTATGTAACAATACCCTAGATTGGCAACTTCACTTGTTCTAAATCTATAGTGCAAATTAATTACTGGTACACCCAAATAATATAAAGGGTCAACAAAACAAACTTAAAACAAGCAATGCAATCATGCCAATCAAATTAAAAATTATAGAGAGGAAACAAATGTTAAAGGGCTTAAACTATATTGAGTACATATATAAGGAGAAAGTAGCCTGAATCTGGAAGAAGTCTTGCTTACTCATTCTTTTGGGTTGCAGGGATAGAGATCTGAATTCTGGAAATTTTCTGGTGACCAATCAGTTTTTCAATCAGACCCTTTTTTGAATTTGAGAAATCAAAGTTGGATTAATTTTGAGTGTAGGAATTCCAGGGTCAAGAATTTCGTGAAGTGCATTAGAATATGCGGGTGTGGAAGCATGTCTTCCAAAAATTTGGAATGATTGTTTTACTGTTCATCATTCTGGTTTATTTAGACCAAAATTACAAAATGCAAATTACCTAATAGTTCAGTTTAGGAAAAGAAACAGAAAGCATAGACAGAAGACTATAATACTACGTTTGGTGTGCAGGAGTGGAATGGAATGCAAGTGGGAATGGAATAAGAATGGGAATAGAATGGTCATTCGCATTCTATTGTTTGGTTGTAAATATACAATGTATAGGAATGGAATAATAATAACCATTCTAGCATTTGGTTAGACCAATTTAAAATTTAGAATGGAATAAATTTCTAATTGAATTCTCCAAAATATCCCTCTTAGTAACAAATAAATTAAATTAAATTAACGATAGTGGTGGTGGTGGAAGGTGGCGGTGGCGGTGGTGGCGGTGGCGGTGGCGGTGGCAGTGGCGGTGGCAGTGGTGGAAGGTGGTAGAAGGCAATAACGGTGGTGGAAGGCGATGACAGCGGCATTGGTGGTTGTGGAAGGCAGCGGCGGCGGCGGCGGTGGTGAAAGGTGGCGATGGCGGTGGTGATGGTGGAAGGCAGTGGTGATGGTGTAGAGCTGTGGCGGTGACGGTGGTGGAAGGTGGTGGTGGGGGTGAAAGGTGGTGGCGGTGGCATTAGCGGTGGCGGTGGCGGTGGTGGTGATGGAAGGTGGTAGAAGGCGATAGCGGTGGTGGAAGGTGATGATGGCGGCGTTGGTGGTTGTGGAAAATGGCGGCGGCGGCGGTGGCGGTGGCGGAAGGCGGCAGTGATGGTTTAGAGCTGTGGCGGTGATGGTGGTGGAAGGTGGTGGTGGTAGTGAAAGGCGATAGTGGTGGTTGTGGTGAAAGGTGCTGGCAGTGGTGAAAGGTGATGGCGGCGGCGGCGGTGGTGGTGGTGATGGTAGCGATGGTGAAAGGCGGCGGCGGTGGTTGCGGCAAACGGTGGCAGTAGCAATGGTGAAAGGTGGTGGCAATGGAAAGTGGTGGGTGATGGTGAAAGTCGGTGGTGGTGGAAGGCAGTGGTAGTGGTGGTGAAAGGCGGAAATGATTGTGGTGGAAGGTAATGGTGGTTTTTAGACTTGGAATATGAGGGTATTTTGGGAAGTCGATTGTTTTTAAATACATTACTTGGGAATGGAATGGCCATTCCATAGGTTTAGTTCTGAAATGGATTTTCATTCCTAGAATGGATTTTCATTCCCAGGAATGGATTTTCATTACAATGGAATGCCATTCCCACTTTAAGTTGCATACCAAACAAAGGAATGGTTGGAATGGGCATTCCATTCCATTCTATTCCTGCACACCAAACGTAGCATAAGGGTTTTTTTTTGGCAATTTTGAGGGGGGTATGTTTACTACAATTACTAAAAAATTGAACATAAAAATTAAAAGGGTTAAGTGTAAAAAATACCCCACTAGATAAAAAATAAAAAAATAAAAAAAAATGCACCTGAGTGGTAACTTATGGAAGTTATTATATTACATAGTTTTAGACCATATAAGAATTGAAAAGTTATGATTTGGAGTTAGTGTATTTCTCTTTTTGTAAGGTTTTGCTTTTTTTTTTTTTTCTTTTTTTTTTTTTTTCCGAAAGATTAAGCAATGTTTTTGCAAGGTGTTTGGTAGCTAGACTCTTATATTGTATAAATGCTACGGACATATACATGCTTGATATTAAAGAACTTTTTGATTTGGATCTATGATTAATTAAAATGTTCGTGGTTATTAATTTATAAGGAGTTTCATTGAGGCATTGGTGATGAACTCATGCTTCCAGAAATGGGGTGTGAAACCTTAAGTTTATTTTGGTATTTGAATATATAGGAAAATTTGGACTTCTCATTCACCATTCCAAGATCCATCTATGTATCCCATGACTTATACCGTAAGCGAATAAAGAGCCCTACCTAGGCTCTCTTGGCTTTGCCTGTTTTGTGCCTTTGTAAGAAGCCTCTGGCAAGTAAGAACAAAGCCATCATAAGCTAGGGGTAGTTGCCCCACATAAACCTATTGGGGGGAAGGGGTACATACAGTAACTAGACTTTAGCTATGGTGGTTTGTAATTACTTAATGGGTGCATATATAATTTTTGGGTCATTATTACTCTTGCTAAATGTGTGATTGTAGGGGAATAGAGAGCCCTACATAAGCTCTCTCATGGCCTTTGTCAGTCGTGTGCCTCCAGGAGAGGCATTTTGCAAGCAAGCAAGGAGCCACCATAGGATGGGGGGCAACTATCTCCCCTGAGCCAAGCCAACCATTTTTTCTTTTACCGTTATGCATGTGAATTTGTGAATATTTATAAAATGACCCCCTAAAATTCTTAAAATTTGTCTCAAATTCTTTCTTTTCTCTTTTACCCTTATTCTTCTCCTTCGCATCCCTTTGATTCACTTCAAAAAAAAAAAAAAAAAAAAAAAATTGTATTCATCTTCTTCAATCAAACCCTTTTAGGTGTGACATTTGAGCTACCTATATAAGGATTTTGACTATTTTGATACAAATACAACAATAGAGGTTGGCGGAGTCTAGATATTAGAGAGAGATACACACCATTCGGAGAAAAGTTCTTTCACTCATCTAGGGTTTCTACTAAGAAGAGGAAGATCAATTCTACCATGGAGATAGCCCCTGAGGGTTGGATGACAACATCAATGAGTGGCTAAATCATTCTCTTGGGGCTAGAGATAGCCTTAAACATGCTTCCTAGACTTTGATGTTTTGTAATTAAGGGGATTTGTGTTGTATTTGTTGTCTTGACATCTTATATATATAATTCTTGTTTCTACAATGATATGTGTAGTTTCATACTTCCAATTGATCATTTAATTCTATCCATATGTCTATGTATGTTAGGATGAATGTTCATGTGTTTATTTCTAGATTTTGTGACATTGATGCATGTCTATGTATGTTGATACTATAAATCTAGTGATGATCAAGGCATGGTGCTTAAATAGATTACTCTTGTGGTTTATTTGATGGTTCATACTTATTTCTTAATGGATTGTGCCGCCTCCTTAGTTTAATTAGTTTAATTTTCATGTCACTAGCTTAGTTGTAGTGTAGTTGCCTTGCTTTTTTAGATAGGTGGACAATCCATGCTTGTTGTTTGATGTTCCATACTTATGAATTCAAGTAGTATATTTCTCTAATTTAATGATGTGCATTAATTGTGGACTTAAAGGAAGGATTAATGGTTTGATTTGATATGTTGTGCTATTCACTAGCTTGACTAGACAATGTATACTTACTTGGTCATCCATGCTTGTTAATTCAATTAATGGCACATACTTTCATTATAACATTTAATCCCCCTAATCCATCAAACATTGAATGTCTAGGAAGGTAATGTTTAGTGGTTAACTCTAATTCCCAATACTCCTCTCTTATATTCTCTACACCTCATTTTCCTTTAATTGCTTTATATTGCATTTATTTAGTTTGCATTATAGTCTAATTCAATCACCAAACCATCTTTGATAATTCGACCTACTAATCCAACGTTGATTTCCAAGCTTAAATGCACTCTATATCCCTTGGGATGATCCCTACCCACTCTAGCTACATTAATAGTTAGTAGTGGTAGTGACAATCTATAAATTTAAACTTGGCCACACTAGACACTTATTTTGCAACTAATGCTTGACACCAACCAAGTTTTGGCGCCGTTGCCGAGGATTTTGGCAATGTCATATTTTGAAAATCAATTAGGAATTAGTACTCGTTTGGTCTTGTCTTTATTTTTATTTTATTTTGGTTACTTATTGTGTTTGTTTTTGATTGGCTAGGTGCATTGAGACAAGGGAAGTAAAGTAAAGGGAAATTCTAAAGAAAAAGGAGCAAGCTAAGCTAAGCTAAGCATAAAAAGCTAAAAATCTAAAAATTTGCAAAGCAAAGTAAGGCAAAGCAAAAAGTGAAAATAAATTGAAGTTGCTTAAGGACCTTTTGTGAGTTTTTCTAACTCTATCTCTAGTTTAATCGT